TGTTCTGCACATGTATCCCAGAACTTAAAGCATAATAAAAATAAAAATAAAAAAATGAAAATCAGTGAATGTAATTCTAACTCAATGTAATTGGTTAATTAATGTAACATAACTTTTCTTCATATAGAATTTCTAAATATCTCCTCTTGAGTGGAATTTCTAAACATCTCTACTATTTGAGGAAAACATCTTTTCCTGTGAAAACATGTTTGTGTGTCTGTGTCTGTGTGTATTTATATTCATATCCAAGAACAGAATAGAAATTGTCATATAATATTAAGGGACTCCCAAACCTCTGCCTTGAAAATGTGATTGTTAGGTCAGAATTTTATCTAAATTTTGAAATACTCTTCAATAAATGCTATTTGGCAAGTAATATTTAATATAGGTCAACTATTATAGCAGTAATATATCACCAAAGTAAACATAATAAGCCTTTACAGATTGGCCTTTGATTTTCCAGGTTCTTTTGTTTTTTTAAAAAAAGGATTAAATTTAAACTTAATGGAATAATGAGCATACTCTTTGTTTATTGTAATGGGATTAAAATGATTATGTGTTATCTTTCTACATGATTTGTTAGTAAAGTGGGAATCACGTGATTTTTTTTTTTTTTTTTTTTTTTTTTTTTGAGAAAGAGTCTCATTCTGTTGCCCAGGCTGGAGTTCAGTGGCACGATCTTGGCTCACTGCAGCCTCTGTCTCCTAGGCTCAAGAAGTCCTCCCACCTCAGCCCTCCAAGTAGCAGGGATCATAGGTGTGCTCCACATGCCGGCTAATTTTTGTTTATTTAATTTATTTATTTTGAGATGGAATCTCTCTCTCTTGCCCAGGCTGGAGTACAGTGTGCGATCTCGGCTCACTGTAGCCTCTGCCTCCCAAGTTCAAGTGATTTTCCTGCCTCTGCCTCCTGAGTAGCTGGGATTATGGGCATGTGCCACCATGCCCAGCTAATTTTTTGTATTTTTAGTAGAGACAAGGTTTCACCCTGTTGGCCAGGCTGGTCTCAAACTCCTGACCTCAGATGATCTGTTCACTCTGGCCTCTCAGAGTGTTGGGATCACAGGTGTGAGCCACCATGCCCGGCCATTTTTGTTTATTTTTTAGGGATGATGTTTTGCCATGATGTTTGTTCAGTCTGGTCTTGAACTCTTGAGTTTAAGGGATCCACCCACCTTGGCCTCCCAAAGTTCTGGGATTGTAGGAGTGAGCCACTGTGCCTGGCCTGTGATTTTCTTTTATGAATAAAACACATGAGATATCCTAAATAATTCATTTTACTTTAACAAATACTGTATAAAATAGTTTCCATCAACTAGGATATAAGCATCTTTTGGTTATAGACTATTTTGTTATTATTTCAAATTATTTGGTTTACTTTATGATTAAACATGTAAACTGCTATTTATTTACTTTAAAGTAGACAAGTATCTAAGTGAATGAATGAAAGTTGGAGGTTATGTAGTTGTAAATTAAGAAGGCATATAATTTAATGGTGACTGAATTAATATTGGAACTAATGAGTGAGTGAAGGAGGAGGACCTATCATATAGAATAATAGTTTTTTGTACTTGTATAGTACATAATGTTCTTAAAAGTGCTTTCATATATGAAAATACTCATAAAAATAATTATATAAGGTTGTTCATAATTCTATTTGTATTTGGCCGTTCTCACATTGCTATGAGGAAATACCTGAGATTGCATAAAGAAAAGAGATTTAATTAATTGGCTCATCATTCTGCATGCTTTACAGGAAGCATGGTGCTAATATCTGCTTGGTGTCCGGGGAGACCTCAGGAAGCTTACAGTCATGGTGGATGGCAAAGTGGGAGCAGGCATGTCACATGGCACTTTTGTTCCTCTCTAAATTGGTTATTGTAGTTAGCAGTTCCTGTAACCTTTTATCAAGACTCTTAGCTTGCTCACATTGGGTTAGAACATGCTTCTTTGGCTCAGAGGAGTTTGTTATTACCCACCTTCTGAAGCCTACCTTTGTCAGGTCATCAATCTCATTCTCTGTCCAGTTTTGCACCCTTGCTCGAGAGTGTTGCGATCATTTGGAGGAGAAAAGTCATTCTGGCTTTCGGAATTTTCAGCATTTTTGTACTGGCTTTTCCTCATCTTGGTGGATTTACCTACCTTTGATCTTTGAGTCTGATGATCTTTGGATGGGATTTTTGTGTATGGGCTCTTTATGTTGATGTTGATGTTATTGCTTTCTGTTTGTTGCTTTTTCTTCTAACAGCTCCTCCTCTGCAGGTCTGCTGCACTTTGCTGGAAGTCCACTCCAGACCCTGTTTTCCTGGGTATCACCAGTGGAGGCTGCAGAACAGCAAAGATTGCTGCTTCTCCTTCCTCTGGAAACTTTGTCCCAGAGGGGCACTAGCCTGATGCCAGCTGGAGCTCTTTTGTATGAGGTCTCTGTCAACCCTTATTGGGAGGTCTCTCCCAGTCAGTAAGCACGGGGGTCAGGGACCCACTTGAGGAGGCAGTCTGTCCTTTAGTAGAGATGGTGCACTGTGCTGGGAGAATCCCCCTTGTCAGGATCAGTCGCTGTCCTCAGAGCTGGCAGGCAGGAAATATTTAAGTCCACTGAAGCTGCGACTGCAGCTGCCCCTTCCAGCAGGTGCTCTGTCCCAGGGAGATGAGAGTTAGCTGTTTTTTTTTTTAAGCAATAAAGTATTTTAATTTTATTTATTTATTTATTTTTGAGACAGTCTTGCTCCATCACTTAGGCTGGAGTGTAGTGATCTGATCTTGACTCACTGCAGTCTCTGCTTCCTGAATCAAGTGATTCTCCTGCCTCAGCCTCCCACAGTAGCTGGGATTACAGATATGCGCTACCACACCTGGCTAATTTTTGTATTTTCAGTAGAGATGGGGTTTTGCCATGTTGGCCAGGCTGGTCTCAGACTCCTGGGCTCAAGTGATTAGTCTGCCTTGGCCTCTCAAAGGGCTGGGATTAAAGGTGTGAGCCACTGCACCTGGCCTCAATCAAGTGTTTTAAAAATAAATACATTTTTAGATATAATGCTATTGCACACTTAATAGACTACAGTATAGTACAAACATTTATTTGCAATTTCTTGGAAACCAAAAAATTGATGTGATTCACTTTATCGCAACGTTTGCTTTATGGCAGAGGTCTGGAACTGAACCAGCCATATCGCTAAGGTATGCCTATATTAAGAAGTCTATTACCTGAAGAAAATAATTATTAGGGTTTATATATAGCCTGCTATAGAATAGTAATCTTATGAATAAAGGGATTCATAAGAATAAGGAATTGGAATCTCACACCAGTCAGAATGGCTATTATAAAAAAGTCAAAAAATAGCAGGTGTTGGCAAGGTTGTGGAGAAAAGGGAACGCTTATGCATCATTGGCAGGAGTGTAAGTTAGTTAAACTATTGTGGAAAACAATGTGGCTATTCCTCAAAGAATTAAAAACAGAACACCATTTGACTCCAGCAATCCCATTTCTGGGTATATACTCAAAGGAATAGAAATTGCTCTACTACAAAGACACATGGCATGCATATGTTCATTGCAGCATTCTTCACAATAGCAAAGACATGGAGTCAACCTAAATGCTCATCAGTGTTAGACTAGATAAAGAAAATGTGGTATATATACACTATTAAATACTATGCAGCCATAAAAAAGAATGAGATCGTATCATTTGCAGGAACATGGATGGAACTGGAGGCCATTATCCTTAGCAAACTAATGTAGGAACAGAAAACCAAACACCACATGTTCTCACTTCTAAGTGGGAACTAAATGATGAGAACACATGGACACATACAGGAGATCAACAGACCCTGGGGCCTACTTAAGGGTGGAGAGTGGGAGAAGGGAGAGGATAAGAAAAAATAACTGTTGGGTACTAGGTTTAGTACCTGGGTGTTGAAATAATGTATGCAACAAATTCCTGTGACATGAGTTTACCTATATAACAGACCTGCACATGTACCCCGAACCTGAAACAAAAGTACAAAAAAAAGAAAACAGAAATAAGAAATTGGAGATACGAAATGAGCTGAATTTAAAATGTTTTCTCATCTCTTCACTGTGAACTTAGGCTGCTGGGTGCTTTTGAAACTAGAATTTTTGATAGAGAAGTATATTTGATGTCTGCAACATACTCGGATTCCCTTAGTATCTTTTGAGTGGCTAGGTATTCTTGGAAGCATATAAAATATTCATATTGTGTTTATCTATGATTAACATTATGCTGTTGAGGGAAGTGTGGGAAAGAGGGCTTTTTTAAAGGCTTTAAATGAGAACAGTGAATCTAGATTAGTTACTTTGGAGAATGCCTTTGATATATATATATATATATATATATATATATATATATATGTTAACTTTATGTTTGAACTTTTTCAATAAAATTCAACTCCCATTTCTGTGTTTAGTTGGGAAAGGGGATCAAGAGATTTTAGTATAAGGCTACCTGAAGTTACTTCTTTTTCAATAGCTGAGCAAAGAGTTGAGGTTTTTGAAAACCTGAGTAAATGAAACACAGCCATCTAGTGGATGGAATTTTAAAAGCTGTAAGCATGTAATTTAAGCACCCTGAGCTCATGTAAGCATTATTATTAGGCATTCAAGTTAATCATTATTTACTAACAAAGGGTAATATACATTAAAAAATTTTAATGGGAAGGGGAAACATTACATATGATTGTTGAACCACAGCATTATATAAATACCTTCAGAGGTTGGTTGAACTAATATAACATTCTCATATGTTATAACATTTTCCATTGTAATATTAATCAGAGTTTTTGAATTGTAAAACTTCAGTAGTGCTTTTTAAACTCATGGGCATTCTGAAACATTGATGGAAAATATTTAGGCCTCTTTTGCCTATTTAAAGTAACCTATTATGGTTGAAGCACAGATTTAGTTACTCACTGTCTTCTGTTGGAGTGACTCTTAGTCATTGATGGCTTATAAACTTTATTGATGCAAAAATGAATTATTTTCCAGGAGCAAGATACTGCTGTGCAAAATATGCATAAGAAAGTAGAAAAATTAGAAACAGAACATATGGACTGCTCTGACCTTCTACAGCGACAAACAAACGAACTTGAATTTAGCACTCAACGAGAGGAACTCCTTAGAAAAGAATTTGAGGTACATTTTCTCATTCTTTTATGATATATATGTGTACAACTTATACACACACACGTACATAAAACCCATTTTGTGATTTAAGGTTGGAGCATTTTACTCTGTGATAATATATAAAAATAATTCTAGGGGCATTTATTTATAATGTGTATTTGGCTTCTTTGAAAACTTTTTAAATCTGAGTATTTTGTGTTTTGCCCTAGTATAAAAAATATATTCACTTTTTAACAATTAACTCTCATAGAATATTCGGGAAGTTTGAGAGTAATTGTTTACATTATTAGGTTGAGTAAGCAATGCAGGAAAAGCTTTGGTGTACATAGGTTCTACATGATAAAAATAATATTACATTTTAATTTTGTAGTTTGAATCATGTATAATAGCTAGTTTTGTGGAATGTTTTTCCAATGAGACTTAGGAAAGGAGCATCAATTTACAAATGAAAAATAGGATTTTTATTAGTGAATAATACTGAAAATAACTTTAATCTTAAGAGAAATCTAATTGATTTCATTAGTTCATCTTCTTTTTAAAATTTCTCTTTGCTTTGTGGGAAATGAAATATTTAAACAGATAAAGAAGTTTTGTCCTACACATAATTTATAATCTTTATTAGGTAAATAAATACTTATGAAGAATATTTAATGGTAAAGTGCTAGAGTTAACACTTATTAAACTCACTGTGTCATTTAACATTGTTAAGAATAGCAATAAGAGGGCTGGGTGCAGTGGCTCACACCTGTAATCCTATCACTTTGGGAGGCCAAGGTGGGTGGATCACCTGAGGTCAGGAGTTCAAGACCAGCCTGGTCATCATGGTGAAACCCCATCTTTTTTTAAAAAAAAAGAATAGCAATAAGGATTATAACTTTTGGGAGGAAGGAAGTATGATTCCTAACATTTTTAGATAATATGTAAATAAAATGAATAGTAAAATCAGCCTTAAAATTATTGACACTAGTAGAAACATTCAATAAGGAGGCTAGGCAGAAAATAATATATGACAATTATGTTTATATTCTTACATACCAGCGATAATTAGATAATCTAATACTGAAAGGTTTTCTTCATCACAGTAACAAAATAGGAATAAAATAAACAAATACATTAAAATTATAAAATTTAACTGAAGATCTTAAACAAACATGGTGAGATATTATAGGAACACTTAACACTGTAAAGACATACATCCTCCCTAGATTGTATTATGGATTAAAGCAGTTCCAAGCCAAACTTCAATGGAATTAATTTGGAAAACAGAATCTAGAATTCCTGTAGAATACTGAAGTGACCAGGTGAGAGTATCTAAAATATTTCGATAAGAGTAATAGGTGTTTTTTTTTCCCCTACCAGATGCATATTATAAAGCTTCAGTGGGGTGTCAGTTGTTCTTTGGTTACATTGCAACAGAGACCAACTTTGGTTAACTTAAATAGGGACTTCAGTATGGGAATCATGTTCACAAACTTAGAAGGAAGGCTAAGGAATCAAACTGAGAAAGCACATGGATCCCAGAGTATCTCCAGAGGTCTTGGGAGCAGAACTGATGTTGGGGTGAACTGGCATCAATTATTTTCATTCTTTTAAAAAGCTATATTCAGGATTTAAATACCAGGAGGAGGACATTTAGTTGAAATAGGTAATTCATCCCCAATAAATCCCTCCCAATTCTAACAAAATTAAAGCCTCAAAAAAGAATTCTTATAAGGAGATCACTATGCTGGTAACCAAAAAGTGCAATAACTCTAAGACCAGACTGTATGAGTATTGTATTAGAACTAATATCTGTCTCTCTATCTATAGAGATAGTATTCATACTAAAGAGCTAGATAGAGAGATAGATTGACTCCCCTGGTTCTGAGTTTTTCAGACTTGGACTAAGCCATGCTACTGGCACCCCAGGGTCTCCAGCTTGCAGATGTTCTGTCATGGGTTTTAGCCTCCATGACCACACAAACTGGTTCCCATAATAATCTCCTCCCATATATCTATATCTTTATCTATATATCTATATAGATGTAGAAAACTTTAAATATATATAAAAGTAGACATAATAATATAATGAACCTAATATCCATCACCAGCTTCAACAATGATCAATTTGTGAACAGTCTTGTATCCTTATACCCCTACTGATTTTTCCTCCTCCCATATTATATTGAAATCTCCAGCCATCGTATCACTTTAACCTTAATTTTTTTCTTATGATTTCTAAAAATAAGGAGTCTTTTATTTAAAGTTGCATTATCGATATCATATATAAATTGTTTACTGATAATTACTCAATATAGTCAAATATCCAGGCATTATTCAAATTTTAAATTGTCTCATAAATGGCATAAATGTTGTATATGTTTATAGTTTGATTCTGAATCTCAATTAGGTCAAGATGTCTATATGTCTCTTGAGTCTCCTTTAATCAACACGTTCTCCCTGTATCTTTCTTTTTTTCCTTTTAGTATATTTTTGAACACATCAAATTATTTGTGCTGTAGAGTTCCCACTGGTTGTGAAATTTCAGATCATCAGAGATAACAATGTTTCTTAGTATGGATCTTTCTCATTCAGCGTGCAGGACATGCAGTGGTCATTTTAGCCAGGAGACTCATGTCCTTCATTTTCAGGAATTCTCTTGATTATTTCTTCACAATATCCTCCTCAGTTTTTTTTTTTTTTCCTTTTCTTCCTTTCTGAGACTTTTATTATTCAAGTGTTAGGCCAACTCAATTGATACTTTACTCTTCCCTTAACTTTCTCTTTGTCTTTTTTTGTTGGTGATGCTTCTTGGGAGATTTGTTTGACTTCACTTTCTAATCTTCTAATTGAATATTTTCTTTTTAATTTCTGGGAGCTTGTTCTCTGTGTCGATTTTGTATTATCCTGTTCCTACATTATGACTGCAGTATTCATTTACTCAGTAAATATTTATTGGAGTGTCAGGCACATTTCTGGGTCATAGAGGCATAGCAGAGAAAAAGAAAAGCCTCCTCCTGCTTCTCCGCCTCCCTTTCCTCCTCTCCCCCTCTTCCTCTTTCTCCTCCTCCTCCTCCTTTTTCTTCTCCACAGAAGGATAGCAGAGAACAAAGAAAAGCTGCCTCCTTCTCTTCCTTGTCACAGAGGCATAGCAGAGAACAAAGAAGAGCCGCCTCCTCCTCCTCCTCCTTCTCTTTTTTTTTTTTTTTGTGAGTCAGAGTCTTGCTTTGCCCAGGCTGGTGTGCAGTGGTGGTCTCAGCTCATGGTAACCTCCCCCTCCCAGGTTCAAGTGATTTTCCTGCCTCAGCCTCCTGAGTAGGTAGACTTACAGGTGTGTGCCACCATGCCTGGCTAATTTTTCGTATTTTGAGTAGAGACAGGATTTTGCTGTGTTGCCCAGGCTGGTCTTGAACTCCTGTCCTCAAGTGATCAGCTCGCCTTGGCCCCCAGAGTGCTAGGATTACAGGTGTGAGCCACTGTACCTGGCGGAAAAGCCTCTTCCTTCTTGAAGTTGACATTCTGGTCAGGAGGAATCACATATTAAATGAAACAATGTATAGTATGTTAGTTGGTGATAATTCTGTGAACAGTAATAAAGGAGTCCAGGGGAGGTAACGAGTAATAGGGTATCCTTTTATATTGATGGTCATGGAAGGATAACTTGATAAGGTGACATTTGAGCTGAGACCTGAAGGAAGGAAGGGATTGAGCTGTATGGATATCCCAAGGAAGAGCATTCTAGGTAGAAGGAATAGAAGGTGTAAGACCTGAGTTGCAAGTGTATTTGTAATGTTTGAGGAATAGCAAGTAGGCCTTTGTGACTGCAATAGAATTAGCAAGAGAGAGACTAGTAGGATATATAGAATGGCAGACAGATCATACAGGATTTTGAAGGTCTTTCATAGTTCATTGTAAGAACTTTGGTTTTTGTCTGAGATAGAAAGCTATTGGGAAGTTTTGAGCAGAGGAGTGATATGCCTTTTCTCATTTATGTTTTAAAAGCATTATTCTGGACACTCTTTGATAACAGATTACGAAAGACCATTTTGGAGACTATTAAAATAATCTAGTTGACAGATTATTGTGTTTTAGACAAGGAAGTAGTAGAGGAAGGTTCTGTCTTGCAAAAATGTATCCACATTTGACCATCTCCTCTACTATTACCTTGTAGTAGATTATGTAGTTGAGATGGTCAAATTTGGATATACTTTTGCAAGATAAAAACCACAGAAATCACTGATTAATTGAACCTGGATTATGAGAGAAAAAGAGGGAGTAAAGGATAATGCCAAAGATTTTGGCTTGATCAGACAAATGAATGGCATTTCCATTCCTGAAATGGTAAATAATACAAGTGGAGTAAGTTTGGGAGAGGTCAGGAATTTGGTTTTAGATATGTTAAGTTTGAGATTCCTTTTAGGCATTCAAGGGGAGATGTGGGGTAGGCACTTGAGTATGTGAATATTGGGTTTAGGGAAGCCTTATTACTGTTGTAGGGTAACAAGGACATGTAAAAAGTTTCATTGGAAAATTTTGAAATATTACAATCTATAAGTCTTTTCTCTGTATGTCTTTCATTTCTGCAAAGGGATATCTGCTAGTTTCAGGTTTGATGATTATAAAGTGAAAGAAGGAAATGGAGGAAGAATCGGGTTATCATGCTGTTTAGTATACAGACTTCCCCCTGGTTTCGGTCTGGTGCACCCCTCTTCCTCCCTTTCCATGTGTATTTCTGCATTCAGCTTCTGGTTCAGGTTTATCTTCTTCAGATAATAAACCTTTTGTGAGGGCTAGGGTTATTTGTTTGGCTACTTGGGGTAAGGGTGGATGCCTTGAGGTCTGATTTCTTACAGCGATGACTAAAAAAAAAATATTTATTGAGATGTAATTTGCATACTATAAATTTGTTCATTTAAAGTGTACAATTCAGTGGTTTTTAGTATATTCACAGCATCGTGCAACCATCACCATAATCAATTTTGAAACATTTTCATCATCCAATAAGAAACACCCCCCCCCACACACAGAAA